TTTTTTTTTTTTTTTTTTTTTTGAAAACCTAACCAATATTAACTTACTAACATTTGCTTAAAAAGTTCATAGTTAAATACTACATATATGATGTGATCAGCAGAAAAATTACAAAATTATTAAACACGGGATAAATCATGTTTGTAATTTTTAGCCGAGTACGATCAAAAGATCTGACATGGGTCGTCTTCTCGGAGGAAGGTTGTTCGAAACTTCGTTTACTATCTAGTCATCAATCCACAAAACCGAATAATGTCCTAAACATACTACTCGTTTGATTGGGGTTGAGTTGAACTAATTAAATAAAGAAATTAAGAGCAAATGATGAAAGATGCAAGATTTGTAAGAAAGATTGGAACTTTAGTTGACCAAAGTCTCCATAATTCAAGAAAATGAAACTAAACGATGTGAAAACATGCTGGCAAAGTGCTCATAGGTAATCTAACACGGGTCTTATTCACTAAATCATCACGTTTTGAGCAAAGTTGAGACCTTTACATAAGATAAGCACGTATTGAATTCCTAACACATTTGTGCAAGCAATGAAAATAAAACAAAGTCCTAAAATCGAGCATCACGCAAAATTTCGGCTAATTCACCAACTTAACAAACTCGAAGTAAAAAGCCTAATCAAGATACTTAAAAATCTATCGCAAGCTCAGACGAAAATAATGTGAAAAGCTCGAATCTTGGACAAAGATAAAGTCGCCAGAAAATCACTGAAAAATATGAGTGATGGATTTCCAACACAAAACTAGAGAGAAAAAATTAAGAATATATAGAGAGAATTTTCAAACTAAAAAGTTGGGAAATGATGGTAGTATCAAAAAATACAAAGCACAATGTCTATATATATAATTACACCACAAAACACACTAAAAACACAAAAAACAAGCAAAAACGACTAAATAAACCCGAAAAAGAACCTAAAATAAAATAAAAACCGTACGAAGGACAAGCACTATCTCTATACGTACTTTAATCAATATCCACAGAATCATATTATGTCCCACTTAAGCATATAAAACACCAATATACATGTTGACAATAATTAATGTAAAGAAAAAAGAAAAAAAAGAAAGGTGACAATCCCAATTAATTAAGTAGTCACAACGAATACCCGTGCCTCCTGATTTCATTATAAATACCACACACAGGCGTTCTCCATTTTCCTCACACATAAAAAGCAAAAATTAATATCATATGTCTTCAAATAAAAATAAGGCAATGGACAAGGTTAGGAAGATGGTCTCGGATAAGCCGGTGGTGATATTCAGCAAGAGCTCCTGCTGCATCAGCCACACTGTTAGGTCACTCTTCTCGGATTTTGGGGTAAACCCAACGGTGTACGAGCTTGACGAGATCCCCAAAGGGCGTGAAATCGAGCAGGCCCTGTCGTCAACTGTGCCAGCAGTGTACATTGGGGGTGAGCTCGTGGGAGGGGCCAACGAGGTCATGAGCCTCCACCTCCAAAGGGCTCTCAGGCCTATGCTCAAACGAGCTGGGGCCCTTTGGCTTTAATATATCACTCACATTAATTACTTTCTACTTTATATA